CATCACGAGTTGCTGCCTCCCAGCTTACTTGCCTGGGTTGTCTTGAGCTCATTGCAAAAAGTAGACAGGAATATGAGGATATTGCTGTGAAACTGGGAACTGATCTGGAATAGTAAGCAAACTTGTACTGTGTAATGTGGTAACATCAAGAACGTAAAGTGCTGTATTTGGGCACAGTGCTGAGACTTATCAGTAGTTTTAATCTTGCAGGTATTTTAATATTTAAAGTAGCTAGGCAATCCTTGTCTAGAGGTTTCTTGTCTTGCAGTTAACTCAGATTTTGCTTTTACAGTAAACTTACAGTGCTCCCAGTTGAATAACAGTGCTCCCTGTTCTGAAGAAATTGCTCAAGTGCAGACTCTGACCTGGTGAAAAGTGCAATATAGCTCACCTTTTGTTCTTTCTAAATTGAAAATTAAGCAGTTTGTCACTTACTGCAGGTTAAAAATGGCACTGTAAAAAGTTACCGCAGTACAGATAATGCAACAAGTTAATGCGTTAATGTCGCAGCTCTTCTGAGTTGAAGTGGTCATGCTGGTCTGTATCAGAAATTATGAGGGATTGAAACAGCAATATGAATTTGTTGGAAGCGGGGGAGCAGATATTTTTGAAACGGTTGTACTGGCAGTTCTGGGTTAGCTGAAAATAGTAGATTTCAAAAGTAAACAGTATTACGAAGTGTTTGGAATCCCTCATGACTACTTTTAACTCTTTTTGTAGCCTGAAAAAAATACGTGGCAAAGTCTGGAAGCAGAGAATATCCAGTCCTTTGTTCAACACGAAACAGTACACAATGGACCTGGAGCGGCTTTATCTTCAGATGTGGGATCACTATGCTGCTGGCAACAAACCGGACCACATTATTAAGCCAGTAGAGGCCAGTGAATCTGCATGAAAGAGAGACTTGTCTGTGTGCCCACCCAGAACTCTCCAGGAACTGAGCCTCTCAAACACTTCTGCAGAGATGATGAGCTAAAAACTGTGCATTTCTACTTAATCTGCCTGGTACTCTGTGGCTGAAGTAATACATGATGGTGATTAAAGCACAGCCAGACTTATTTCTTGCATGATAGGGAAAGATGGGATCCTTTTATTCCATGAGGAATTTGAATGGGATTGAGCCGTGTACACGTGAGCCTGTGTGTATGAGTGATGTGGCTGCTGGGGGAGGTTTGAACTGCCCAACCAATTATGATTTCATGGATGGATTTAATCTTCCTATGAATCTCTCTCCTTTTATGTGGATTGGGAATTGGAGTGTTTTAACATTTGATTTTGGGTACTCCTGTTGGTATACCTGTGATTCTCCCATGACAAGATTTCCAGCTAGCGAGTGTTGCTCCCTGCATTAATTGCTGAACTGTGTGGACCGAAAGGGCATATTTGCTGGTGTAGTCTTTTTTTATAGGTTTTATAAACCACTTGAGCCTATATCAGCCTTTTAATGTTTGACCTCTGTTTTGGAGCTCTCTGTAATGTGTTGGTTTAGATAAGGACTTTGTGGGTTTTTTTTGTTTTGTTTTGTTTTTAAGCTTCTCCAATAACTCAGCTAATTGGCTTCATGATGGCAGCTCCTGTTGAAAAACCAAATTTGATTTGAGATTAATCCTCCCCACAAGTGTTTGAGGTAAACACAAACTGGTGCCAAATACAGATCTTTCAGGAATGATTGTTAATTATGTATAGAGGCGCAGTCCTAGGTACTGTAGCAAAGACTTTAAACAAAAAATAAAGCTTTGGTTTGCCAGTTTGACTGATTTGACCAGTGTTTCATGTTTTCTGCTGCCCGTGTGCTGCTGTCAGAAAAGTATTCTGAACTGCTGGCCTTTCGTCTGCCTTTCTGTAATTTTAAGTAATGCTATTTATTTCAGCAGAAATAATCCCAGGTAAATGTAGATCTTGTACATAGGTGTTTCTGTTTCCACTAGATTAGACTAAACCCACCCAAACATGAAAAATCTGGTGTGTGTGCATGCTTAATTCGGAAGTGTTTTGGGGCCTCACAGCAGCTTGTTTCTTCTGGCCTTCATGGTGCTGTTATCTCAGGTCAAACTCTGTAGTACCTTGAAGGCCATGGCCTATGTGTAAATTAATATTTTTGTTTTGAAATAAGCAACAACAGCGTTCCCCAACTCCTAAATCTCTCTGGTGGGTCAAAGACTGCAATCTGAAATGAGTGTCAGCCTTGGTAATGGTGTTGCTGATGTGCAGCAGGTGAGTTTGTCTCCCAGTTGTACTGGAGGCCCCAGGTGCTTGGCGCACCTAGGTCAGTCACCCGCTGCCTGATGAGCACCCCTCTTCCTGGCGGGGTGCTGTCGCTGCCCGCATGCCCCGGGGAGGAAGCCTGGCTGTAGCTGCTCTCGCTCCTTCTCCTGTTAGCTGTCCGGTACCACGAGGGGGGTTAACGACCCTTTTGTGACCTGCGACGGTGCCGGCCGATG